GGCTAGAGACAGAAAGGTTATAGTGGGATGTCAAACGGAAAAGGAAATAAGTAGAGTCAAAGAAAGATTAAAAAAGGTAGGAAAAGACCTCAATGTGGATGACATAAAAAACAAGGATCCACTCATAATCCTAAAGGATGTGTTGCAGTACAACACTGATGAGGAAATCCAAAAAGCCATTAGGATACAAAATAAACAGCTATTTAAAGATCTACCAGATAAAGAAGACAGAATGGAGGTCAAATACAAGAAGAGGACTCGAAACCCACATACTTCCCACATCGTAATGAGAGTCTCGCCTCAAATATGGAACCGTCTTACGGAAGCTGGTATAATCCATGTTGACTTACAGAGAGTTAGAGTGATGGACCAGTCTCCCTTGGTACAATGTTCGCGTTGTCTGGGATACGGACACAGTAAGCGCATATGTACCGAGACCACTGACGTATGTAGTCATTGTGGAGGTCCACACCTTAAAATCGAATGCGCTGAATGGCTATCCGGAGCAATACCGGAATGTAAGAACTGCAGCAAGGCAAAACATGATAATAAAAATCATAATGCATTTAGCACAGACTGCCCAATAAGGAAAAAATGGGAAACATTAGCGAGATCAACCGTGGCATATTGCTAAGGGTGCTCTTGCGACAAACACGGAACCATGCATCGGTAACCACCGATATCACGCGATTCAGGCGAATCTCCAAAGATCTGAGCTAGCCACGGCCGAGTTAATCATAGAGGCGACAAGGAGGAAGGTGTGTTTCGCTATGGTACAGGAGCCCTACATTGGACGAATAGGACAAATGAAAAACTACACCGGGACGAGAATAGCACAAAGCGACAGAAGCCAAACCACTGAAAATGTGATTAAGGCTGCTATTGTGCTATTCGACGACACCATCGACATGGCCCCATGCCCAGGCCTAACGACGGAGAACATCGCCGTCGCAAAGTTGAAGACTGGGACATGGGAGTTGGGAGTGGTGTCCGTTTACATGGAGGGCGACAAACCTATCGAACCATATCTTGAAATGATTGGAACGGCCGTGGTGGGCCTGGGGACAAGGAACGTGATACTCGGTGGGGACGTGAATGCATGGAATACCTGGTGGGGAAGCCGAAAGACAGATAACAGAGGCATAGAGGTAGCTGCAAAGCTGGATGAATTAGAACTCCACATTCTAAACAGGGGAACTGAGCCAACGTTTGATATAACAAGAGGTGGTAAGAGATATTCCAGTTGTGTAGACGTAACTACCTGCTCGACTAGCCTACTCGGAAGGATAGATAGTTGGAGACTATCCGAAGAAATAACCAGTTCGGACCACAGGGCAATCCTGTTTGAAATAAATTTAGATAAATCAATAGGTACTAACATAAAAAGAATGACAAGAACTTACAACACGAAAAAGGCAAATTGGGGAGAGTTTCGTGAGAAACTCCTCCAGATTTGGAAGGATACACGATTAAACGAAGCAGCAATAGAAAAAGTAGAAACCACACAAGAACTAGAAATAACTATAGATAAATATACAAACTCAATAATAAAAGCTTGCGAAAATAGCATACCCAAAGTAAAAATTAGAAAACGAATGGGATTGCCCTGGTGGACCGACGAACTCACACGGCGAAAAAAGGAAGTCTCCAGGCTGAGACGTAGAATTTCTTACGCAGCGCCAATCCGTCGCGAGTGGGTGGTCGAGCAGTATAAAAGAGCAAAAGAAGAGTACCAACAGGAAATCAAATTGGCTCAGACCACTAGTTGGAAGGAGTTCTGTAATAAACAAGAGCGCGAGACTATGTGGGAAGGAATATATAGGGTGATAAGCCGTACAAAAGTGCAACAGGAGGACACTCCCCTTATTCTAGACGGAAGGACGTTTGAAGGCATAGAATCAGCCAAGATTCTAGCAGATACGTTTTATCCAGAGGACCGAACTGAAGACGATGACACGGAACACAGGCACATAAGAGAAGTAGCAAAAACTGTGAATGAAGGGGCACATGATAACTCATGTGACCCACCATTTACTGCTGACGAGTTGCAGTGTGCCGTGTCTAGTTTTAATCCAAAAAAGGCACCTGGTAACGATGGCCTTACGTCGGACATCTGTGAAGTGGCTATCGCCCTGGATTCGGCATTGTTTTTGGCAATTGTGAACAAATGTTTTGGCTTTGCTTACTTTCCCATTAAATGGAAGAGAGCGACAGTGGTAGTATTGCGAAAACCGGGAAAAGAAACCTACACACACCCCAAATCATACAGGCCGATTGGGCTTTTGCCTGTATTAGGAAAGGTCTACGAAAAAATGATAGTTCGGAGAATTAAGTGGCACATCGTACCAAATATAAGCCGTAAACAATACGGGTTTATGCCACAGCGCAGCACCGAGGACTCCCTCTATGATATGATGCAGTTGATAAGAACAAAGATAGAAGATAAAAAGTTAGTCCTGCTCATATCATTAGACATAGAGGGAGCCTTCGATAATGCCTGGTGGCCGGCAATACGATGTGGACTTGCGGAGACCGGGTGCCCAGTAAATCTGAGGCGTCTAATTGATAATTATTTTAAGGACAGAACAGTGGGCGTCAGATATGCTGGGGCAGAATGGGAAAAAAGGACAACTAAGGGGTGTGTGCAGGGTTCAATAGGGGGTCCAATCTTCTGGAATGTACTACTGGACCCACTTCTTAAGGAGTTGAGCGCAAAGGGATCCCATTGCCAGGCTTTCGCGGATGATGTGGTCCTAATATTCTCCGGGGATACGGCAAAACAGGTACAGGAACAGGCGAATGTGACTCTCGCGTATGTGCGGAAGTGGGGTGTCAGAAATAAGTTAAATTTTGCGCCACATAAAACAAAAGCGATGGTTATTACAAAAAAGTTAAAGTATGACACACCACTTCTGGAGATGGGCGGGAGAACCATATGTCTCTCCAAAGAAATAAAAATACTTGGCCTTACGGTTGACGATGGGCTTGCCTTCAACACGCATTTAAATAATGTGTGCTGCAAGGTACAGAACCTTTATCGTCAACTGTCGAGAGCCGCCAAGATCCACTGGGGCCTGAACCCGGAGATTGTTAGGACCATATACACTGCCGTGGTGGAGCCAATTGTAATGTATGCGGCTAGCGCATGGGTACCAGCAACTAACAAACAAAAAGTGAAAAAGAGACTTGACTTGGTGCAACGCGGCTTTGTGCAAAAAATAATAAGATCATATAGGACCGTATCACTGCACTCGGCCCTACTACTCGCCGGGCTACTTCCATTGGATATAAGAATCCGGGAAGCAGCCTCTCTTTATGTAATAAAGAAAGGCCTTTCCCGGCGAATAGTGGGAGATCGAGAAGCAGAGTGTAAAATTAACTTTTCGGAGACCCCACATCCCGCGGATCAGGTCGGACTGAAGTTTGAATGTCTGGAAGACGGTGCAGAAATAGACCGGAACGACAACATTGGCCTAAAAATATACACCGACGGTAGTAAAATTGAGGGAAAAGTCGGCGCGGCATTATCCATCTGGAAAAATGCCGCGGAGACAAATACCCGTAAACTGAAACTAGAAAATTTCTGCACCGTCTACCAGGCAGAGTTGCTGGCCATTCTCGAAGCAACCAGATATGCATCAAAAACTGTCATACCAAATTGCAATATATATAGTGATTCGAGATCAGCTCTCTCAACAATTGTACAAGACCTTTCCCTCCATCCCCTAGCGGTGGAAGCAAGAGGCAACATAACTAAAATAAATAGACAGGGTAAAACCCTTAAACTTTTTTGGGTAAAAGCTCACGCAGGATTGGAGGGAAATGAGAGAGCAGACAAACTAGCGAAAGAAGCTGCTACAAAAATTAAAAGGAAAGCAGATTATGAAAAGTGTCCGATTTCATACGTCAAGCGACAAATCCGATTGGAATCGCTTGACGAATGGAACCGGCGCTATGTGGAAGGGGAAACGGCGTCAACAACAAAAGTCTTTTTCCCGGACGCAATTAAAGCCTACCACATAATAAAGAAAATCGACATGGATCCGATGACGGTTCAAATTATGACAGGACATGGGGGATTCTCCGAATACTTGTATAGATTTAAGTGTAAGGAGAGTCCCGCATGTGCCTGTGATCCAACTAAAAATGAAGACATAATACATGTTATCACAGAATGTCCAATTTATAGCCGAGAAAAATACAACACAGAAATGGCATTAAATATAAAAATAAGTAAAGAAAATGTACATGAAATTATAGGAAATAAGCATATTAGAAATAAGTTCTTAGAATATTGTAAGGATATAGCAAATAAAATAGTAAATAAAAATAAATAGTATGTAAAAGGGAACTGTAACACAATATATATAAGTATACAGTGTAAACAGTCCCACATAATAAATAGATATAAGAACAAACCTTTGAAAAAATGTAAAAATTAAATGTAATGTGTAAAGAAAAAATATATTAAATAAATAAAAGAATACAATGACAAGGTGAAAAAAGAAACACCAAACGATGAAAAAAGTCCCTGAGTACCACATGTCAGGGGAACTAGAATAAAAAAAAAAAAAAAAAAAAAAAAAAAAAAAAAAAAAACCTAACCTAACCTAACCTAACCTAACCTAACCTAACCTAACCTAACCTAACCTAACCTAACCTAACCTTTTTTTTTTTTTTTTTTTTACGGGGGGAAATCCTCATGGACTACCTCCGCCTGGGGAAAGGCGGAGGGGCGTGCCGGACTCTTACCGGCTAAAACCACCCCGGTGTCTCCTCACACGTGCGCGTGGGGCCGCGGGAATCCAAATTCTTCCGCAGCCCCACACTAGTGCTGGCCCGGTCCGTCCAGGCCTCGTCTCCTGCACGGGGTAGTGAGGTGTTAAACTACCCCGTGTATCGCCTCAGGGGCGCGCGCCGACACCCGCGCGCGCCTCCGCCTCGGGTCCATCGAGTAGGGGTGGCGGGGGCTTCCCCAAGTCCCTCGCCCCTGGACCCATTTATGGGGGGCGGAAAAGGGCGTTGTCCGCCCTTCTCCTGCGCCCGGTGCGCCTTCTGCGGCCGGGGAAGGGAGTCGAGATCTCCCTTTCCCGTTCCGCAGTTTCCTTCTGCGACATCACGTCCTCGCAGAAGGACACCACTGCATCCCACGACTCTGCGCTACCGACCATCTTCTGCACTAAGGCCGGCAGCGACAGATCGCCTCCTACTTTATTTGTGAGGACACGGCGCTGCTCCTCCCAAGCTACACACTCGGCGAGCGTGTGTTGCGCCGTGTCCTCCCCGCAATGGACGCAGTGGTGGCACCGAGCGTCCGGCTCCCTGTCTATGCGGCGCAGGTACTTGCCGAAGCAGCCATGCCCCGACAGCACCTGCGTCACCCTAAACGACAGGGAGCCGTGCCTTCTCCCGAGCCAGTCGTCGAGTACTGGCCGGATCGCCTCGACGGTAGCGAGGCCTGCGGTAGGGCGCAGAAGCCTTTGCCGCCATTCCGCCACCAAGACCTGACGGAGCTCCTCTCGGCGCAGCGCGATCTGCCGCTGCACCGGCCTCGAGCCCCGTGCCCGCTCTTCCTCGCGCCATCGATATAATGACGCGAGTACTTTCGCCTCTAGGTCCCAGGGCGGGGATCCGGCCAGGACGCAAGCCGCCTCGTAGGAAATCGTGCGATACCCGCGGGCGACTCTGACGGCCATCGCCCTCTGCGGTTTACGCAGAATGGCGAGAGTGCTGGCCGTCATGTCCATCGCCCACACAGGGGCCCCATACAGGGCCATGGACCGCACGATTCCCACGTACAACCGCCTACAGGCGGCGCTCGGGCCCCCCAAGTTGGGAAGCAACGTTGATAGCGCGCCCGCTGCACCCATCAGCTTGGGCGCCAGCCGCCGGAAGTGGGGTCCGAATTCCCATCGGCTGTCGAGCACCAATCCCAGATACTTCATGGTGGACTCGACAGCTATCCGGGCCCCGCTGACCACGATGTGTGAACCCGGCGGCGGCGCGCGTCGAGGGCCATGGAACACCATGGCCTCCGACTTATTTAGGGCCACCTCCAGGCCCAGGCGCCGGATGCGGTTCACCACTTGTGACACCGCAGCCGTGGCAACCAACGCTGCTTCCCTGTGTGAACTCCCCCGGGCAGTGACGAGCGTGTCGTCCGCATAACACGTCAAGTCGGCGCCCGACGGGAGTTCACCTCTCAGCACCCAGTCGTAGCCGATGTTCCACAGGAGCGGTCCCAAGACCGAGCCCTGCGGAACACCGCACGACATGACGCGCCGACCAGCGCCGTCACGTCCCCAATAGGTAACGCATCTCTCCTCAAGGTAAGCCCCTATTGTGCGGCGGAGGTAGGGAGGCACGCGATGGTAATTCAGCGCCTCCCGAATACAACTCCAGGGTAGGGTGTTGAAGGCGTTGGAGATGTCTAAGGACACCGCCAGCACCACCCCACCCCGGGATACTGTCTCCTCCGCCAGGGCCCTCACGCGCGTAATAGCGTCTATGGTGGAGCGCCCGCGACGAAAACCAAACTGGTTCTCGTCCAGGTCCGGCCCCTCTCTGCACAAGTGGCTGACGAGGCGATCTGCGATGATGCGCTCAAGAAGTTTGCCCGCCTCGTCGAGCAGCACTATGGGCCGGTACGCGGACGGTGAGTCCGCGGGGCGCCCCTCCTTCCTGAGCAGGACCAGCCTCCCCTCCTTCCATACACTGGGAAACTGACCCTGCTCGAGACATGCCGTGAAGAGCCCTCTCAGCTGGGGCTCTAGCTCCTTCAGAGCCAGGACGAGAGCTCGACCAGGAACTCCGTCGGGTCCGGGCGCTGTGTTCTTAGCCCGGAGTCGCGACACGGCCGCTCTCGTCTCTGTTTGCGTCACCTCGGGGACATCGGTGCTCTCCTCTTCTGGAGAGTCTGTGGCTGAGGGCGAAGCCATCGCCGGGGGAACGTGTCCCACTCGCTCAGGGAAGAGAGCCGATACCACCGCCTCTAGCAACTGGGGTTGCATCGTTTGTGTTAGTGGAGGCGCCCAGGGACGCAACTTGCCCCGTACCCAACGGTAGGGGCGCCCCCACGGATCCCGATCTAGGGATCCCAGCAGCTCTTCCCTGGCACGCGACTTTGAGTCGCCGATGGCCAGCCACAGAGTCTCCTTAGACGCGCGGTACACCTCATACAGCGCGTCCTCCTCGGCGGGATCCCGTCGACGCCGCCTCCGGTATCGGGTGTACCGGCGACGAGCCGCAACGCACGCTATGCGCAATTGCGCGATCTCGGCGGTCCACCAGTACACCTGGCGCCTTGCGGACCGTTGGTGGACACGGGGCATGGACGCGTCGCAGATCTGCGTCATCGCCCCGCGAAACCATAGCGCCACCGCTTCGACGTCGACGGGGCCGTCCGTCGTCGACTCCCGAATCCAGGACTGGACTAGGGCAGCTTCTTCGAGTAGTTCCCTGTCGATGCGCTTAAGCGCCCAACGCGGGCCGTCGTTAATCGGGGTTGTTGGATGGCGGCCGCTCGCAGTCTGGGCAGAGACGTCGAACCGGATATACCGATGGTCCGACAGCGTCTCCACCTCTGCGGCGACACGCCAGTCGCGGACTCGGCTGGCGACAGAGGGGCTAGCAAACGAGACGTCCACTATCGACCCACCCCGCTGCCGCACGCACGTGTATTCCGAACCCCGATTCAGGACGACCAGACCAGTCGTCACCGTCCACTCTTCTAACACCTCGCCCCGAGGGTCAGTGACCGGAGATCCCCACGCCGATGACTTGGCGTTGAGATCCCCGAGCACCAGAACGGGACGAGGGTGATAGCGGCCTACGACGGCGCCCAACTCGACAAGGAAACCCTCAAAGTCGGCGAGACTCTTGTTGGGGGAGAAATACGCCCCTACAATAACGATGCCGCCCGAGACCGCAGCAACCCAGCCGCGGCCCCGAGACGGGTCGCTCAGAGTCTCGCCAATAATGGCCACCAAACCGTCAGCGCATCCCAACCAGTTGTCACGGGCGGGAATGAAGTACGGTTCGGCGACCACAGCCACGTGAATCGACCACTCTGCCATGCTCTGGAGTAGGAGATCCTGAGCTCTGGCACAGTGGTTGATGTTGCCCTGGAGGAAATGGAGAGAATGGAATCGTGCCATTATTGACATTCCATTCCCTCGGCAACGGTCCTGGGCCGGGAGTCGGCCGCGGAGCTGCTAGCCTGCGAGGGCAGCGAGGTTAACCCGGCAGGCTTAGTGCTCCTCTTCTTTTCCTTTTTCTTTTTCTTGCTGGCAGGCGCCCCACAAGCCCTTCCGCCTACTCTGTGTTCCGCTGGCCTTCCCGCAGCAGAACAAAGGCTGCAGTTGAGCGCCGCGGAGCACAGGGCAGCCTTGTGGCCAGGCTGACCGCAACGATAACAGAGGTCACTACGGTCAACCTCGGCGGTGCACTTCGCCCGGACGTGCCCTTTTTCCAGGCACCGAAAGCACTGCAAAGCCCGGGGCTGTAAGAGCTTGGTCCTTGCCGCCACCCAGCCTACCAGCAATCTGCCGCTATCGGCGATCTTCTTTGCCGACGCTACAGGGCACCGAACCCAGACCGCGCCGAGTCCGGTGGCGTCGGTGCGTATATCGCCAGCCCGCACCTTGTCCGGCGGACACTCTCCGCTTCTGGCAACGGCCGCCACCACCTCCTCTGAGGTCACGGAGTCGTCCAGGCCAGCAATCCGCACCTCTGCGGTTTTCATTGGCCTGGAGACCCGGACGTCCTCTGGGTTGAGGACCTCCCTCATCTTGGCGGCAAGTGCGTCCGTCTTTTCGGCACTGCCGCTCACAGTGCCAGCCACCTCGAACAGTCGTGCACCCGTGGCAGCCTGCCTGAGGGTGACGGACTGAAGGCCAAGATCAGATAATTTGATCTTGGCCTTGGCCTCGGCGATGACCGACTGGTACGTCACGCCACGCTCCACAGCTCCAGGCTGCAACGTTATTGTTACGGCGTTGGACCGCGGAACATGTACAGCCGGTCTCTTGCGACCGCCTTTGGCAGTCCGCTGTGCAGGTTTAGGAGCCGTCTTTGCGGTTCCACCTGGGGCACATGCGGCTGCTGCGGCCTTCTTGGCGGCTTTGCGGGCCTTCTTGCGGCCCACGACTTTCGCCCAGGTCTCACCCTTAGACCCGGCAGCCGTGGGCTGGTTGCTCGGAGGAGCTCCCTCCGCGGGCTTTTTGTTACCCTCCGCGGGCTTCCCCTTTTGAGGCGCAAGTCTCGGCGGCTCCTCAGTCCTCCGCGTGTCAGCCGCTAAAGGCGGACGGAGGATTTCCACCGGGAGACGCCGAGAAATTGCCTCCAGCCGAGCGTTAACCATGCTCCCACACTGGAGCATGCAGAGCCGGACAATGCGCTCGACCTCTTCGTCGGTACGAGGGCTTGCCGGTCGCAGTGCGGGAGTCGGGTCCACTACAGGTGCGGCATCGCTGGACGTGCGTTGCTGCTGCTGCTCGCTTAGCGCAGCAACTTGCCGCCGGAGGTCCTCCAAGTCACTTCTGAGGCGGCTGTTTTCCTCCTGTAACTTTGCGACCTCGTCAGAGGCCGTCCTGTTGAGGAGGATGCCAACCGCCTCCCTGATATCCGCGGCAGCCTCCTTTAAGCCACGGGTGAACGTGCCCTTCAGGCTGCCGGACTTGGTGGCAACCTTCAGGACTAAGTCCACCCCATCCAGAGCCAGCTGGCTTAAGGCCACCGCAGATGGCTCTCCCCCTTCCGCCGCAAGAGCAGCTCGTCGCTCGCGAGCACGTCGGGCCATTTCCGACACTTCGTCGGCCGCGACGGCTTTGCGCTGCTCCCTCTTGGCGGCATTGAGCTCCGCCTTTGAGCTCCCCAGCGAGGCACAGCTTTCACCGCCATCGCCAGGGTCCTCCGTAGTGAACCCCATGTCACTATCTGCTTCGCTAGCCGCCGAGGTATTGGAGCACACGAACCGTCCGTGCTTATCCCTCCGCGGCTGCGAAGTACTCGCCCCTCTCGATGCCTGCCGACCCCTCCCCGAAGTCGGCAACTTGGGGGCCGGCAGGCCTTCCTCGTCTGACGATCGGCACACTGGACGTTTCCTAGCGGAAGACGTCCCACGCGATCGATTTCCGCCGCTACCAGTATCTGATCCTGCCTTTTCTACCTCTACTGTTTTTTTTAAATATTTTTCTTTGTCCATTTTTATCCCACGAGTGTGGAGGAAATAACAGTCCATCCGAGCAGAGCCCCCTTTGCCCGGATAAGCCTATGCGTAACCCGTCAAGGGTGTCGGCCGGTACCCCGACGGGGGCAACGCTAACGACTGAACATTAACCCATCAGCCATGCAGCTCCTCACGGCGTGCCACGCTTGAGCTTCGGGTGATTTTTTAAAGAGGTTATCATCCTCGCGACTCCAGGCGGTTAAGCCAAGAGCCCTCGGCCCCTTAGGCGCCGCGAGACGTGATCCACGACACGCCATAGGGATTCCGAGGTTCGAATGGTGGCAGAGTCGATACGGGTTCTTCCCATGCCTGCCCAGAGACCGGGTTAGGGAACACTGAGCCCATTCAGTTTCCTTTTTTTTATAGGGTGTGGTCCCTGAAAATCCCGCGATTACGGGTTGCCCGGCGTCGGCAAAAGCCGAGTGCACCTGGCACCTCACCGCGCATGTCACATTCTCTGTTCCTCTCAAGGGAGAGGATACAGGAAGCAACTAATAGGCCCTCCGCTATGCAAACAAGCCCTCACCCAGCCAGTTTTGGTCCGCGACGGTTTCCCGCTACCACCCATATCTGAGTGGCGTTCCCCTATCCGCCACCTGGGGACGCGCCCGATGGGAGCTCTGGCAACTCCACACGGGAACCTAACCTAACCTAACCTAACCTAACCTAACCTAACCTAACCTAACCTAACCTAACCTAACCTAACCTAACCTAACCTAACCTAACCTAACCTAACCTAACCTAACCTAACCTAACCTAACCTAACCTAACCTAACCTAACCTAACCTAACCTTTTTTTTTTTTTTTTTTTTTTTTTTTTTTACATGGGGAAATGCCTACGCATACCCGCCTCGCGGGGGCAAGGACGGGTTATGTCGGACTCGCACCGACTAAAACCCCATGGTGTTCCACCCTCGTCGCATATTGGCAGGGCCACGGGAACGCTTTCGCACACTTCCGCGGCCCCACCTGCGCTGGCCGCCCCATGGCGGCCCCTCCCCGGGAGAGGACCACTCCTCCCCCATTTCCCTCTCAGGTAAGGCGCACCAGAACACATGGCGCGCCCTCCTCCTCGGCCTCCAATTTCATATGCGCCACGGACGCCCCCGCGTCCAATGCGCGAAGGCCATGGGGCCAGGAAAAACTAGCACTCAGAAGCACCAGCCTTCCTGACCCCAGCGGCGGATCTGGTCTATGGCTCCGCCGCCAACCAAGATTCGGCTGCGGAGGGTAGGGCGAGCGGCGCCTCGCAATACCGACACTCCTCTCCCCCCGCAGCCCCACCACCACCGCATCAATAGACGGTGCGGCCCCGTCTGAGTCGCGGAGGATAGGGCGAGTGGCGCATCGCCATACCAGCACTCCTCTTCCTCCGCGACTCCACCCTGGGCTGCAGCGGTAGAGGGTGCGGACTTCCCTCTCACCGCAGCCCACCAACACACATCCGAAGTGGGCTCGTCAAGCCCACTCGGAGTGGCCACCTCGGGCCGGCCCTACACCTCGGGCCAGCCAAGGGGTTCCTCTTCGTTCACCGTGGTTGACCAAGCCACGGCTACTAAGCCCCCCCGCCACGACAAGGCGGGAACCCGTTCGGGGGGGAACCTAACCTAACCTAACCTAACCTAACCTAACCTAACCTAACCTAACCTAACCTAACCTAACCTAACCTAACCTAACCTAACCTAACCTAACCTAACCTAACCTAACCTA